GAGAGAGAGAGAGAAACGTGAGAGATTCTGTCGCCATTTAACGCCCGCTTGCCACGAAACCGTCAACCGTTCAGTTCCGTGATTTCTTCGTATCGCGAAAATTGATTTTTTCCTTTTTTTTCCCCGAGGTCATGGAACGTGCCTCCAATTCGCGATAATCCCATTAAAACCGAACGGAATTATTTGACAGTTATGCGTGGAAAATAAAAATAAAGAAAGAAAGAAGAACAAAAATGGAAATTTCCTATTCTCTCTCTCTCTCTCTCTCTCTCTCTCTGTTAATTGTGCGACAAGTAAGGAAGAAATATTTGAACAATTCCATTCGTTTCATGTTGTGTCTTTGAAAAAAGAGGAATCCAATGTATTTTGTTAAACGAACGTTAAATTAGATTAGGTTAGGTTAGGTCTTGTGTATGGAAATCCAATAATGTTTTTATACAAAAATTTTGGGTTAATTATGATTATTAGTTAACTCGGACAATATGAATATTAAACGGAAATTTAGAAATGCGAAGGAAGAATTTGATCGAGATCGATGATACGATCGAACGAACGAATTTCTAAGTAACAAAGAAAATTTTTATTAATTAATTTAATTAATTTTCTTCAAACCTATCATTTTCGATGCTCTGCGTGGAAGAACGAGAATAATTTTTCCATCTCGTTCGAAACAAACTCTCCGAATAATGAAATAATTTTATCGATAAAATTCGGAAGATAACTCGTTATATAATTTCCACCGATTAAATAAATATCTTAGGTTGAAAAATTGCAAGCCCTCCACGAAAATCGAATTCGAATTCGAGCCGATCGATGCGATAGAGCCGTGTAATGGAATCGTCGTTTTGTCGTGAAATTTATCGACGCGATTACGCGCGAGTTTGCACCGTTTCCTTTGACAATTTTAGGATCAATTGACCATTAAAATTCCCGTGAAAATGTACCACCGCGATCAAATTATTTCACCGGTGGATGGAATTTTGTTATCCCGATCAAAAATTATTGGCCAACCGGTCTGCGAACCGATTCAACGAGTCTCCATAATTCTCTCTCTCTCTCTCTCTCTCTCCCCCTCTTTTTGCGTTAGAATAATTTTCTTCGAATCCGAAACTCTATTATTCAAAATTGTCTGTCGAGGCTTGAAACGATCCACGATTCGGATAAAGAATGATTTATTAGTCGCACGATAAAGCAACGATTCTCATAGAACGATTAATATAACAGTTTATCGAATAAAACAATCGATCATAACAGTGAAATATCAGGATTAATGTGTATGGAATGGAAGCTTGTTGTTACGTCGAGATTACTCGTAAGAAGAAGCGGATATTTCCATCCACCATTTTTCAACTTTTCTATCTTACGTTAAATGCGAAGATACGATACATTTCCATAAACATCCCCGATGCCAGGAACAAGCTTGAAGCGGAACATTCGGAACCAAGATACGTCCATTCGAAGTATTCTCAACTTCCGTCGAAGGCGGAGACGAAACGTCTCGATGGGGAGGCGAACAACGTTTTCTCGAAACAATTCTTCCTTCCTCGACTCTCATTTAAATCTCGAGGAAAAAGGGAGGACTTGAAGATTGTGCTCGCGTAAAGTGGTGTCCTTGATTCGTTTCAAAAAGGATCCTCTTCTTCCTTTTCTCCTCCAGTTTCAACCGGATGCGCCACCGCTTTTTCAATACAGAGAAGAGCGAAACGGATTCTCTCTCTCTCTCGTCGAGCGAGATGACAACTCGACCTGCGTAAACTCTATCAAAAAAAAAAAAAAGAAAAAAGAGGGAAGAAGACCGAGTCGATTTCACTCGTGAAATCGTCCGAAGTTTACGAGGGTAAAAACATTTTCCGCGTTATTGCTCGCGATTGTTTTCGTCGAAACTTCACCCTTGTGAAACGATACTTTCGAATCGAATCGAAGTTGAAGAACAAATGTTGCGAAACTAGTTGGCTGGAAACGCTCTCTACGACGAGTTGAAATTGAAGTCGGAACTCGCGACTCTTTTACCGACGAATGCAAAATTTGAGCGAACGTCGAGTCCACGACTAGATTTATCACGAAAAGAAGAAATGAAATCGAACGATTTTCACGCGTCTTAATTCTCTCGTCTCGCGATTTTTCTCGCGAAATTTGTTATTATATGGTCGAAATATTATTACGCAATTTGTCGTTGAACTATTAAATTCGAAGTATTCAAGAAAACGAATTGTCTTCACGAATAAACTCGCGAAGATTCTTTCTACTCGTATTCACATTTTCGTTGGACAAACACTTTTTACGCAGTCGGATAAACAGATTTTCTTCGGTCGGTAACTCGAAATTAATCGGGGTTTCGTTCTAATTAAGTGTAACGGGGCAGAGACAACAACTATTTCGTTCAAAATAGAATTTATATATCGTTAAAATAAACTTTGCATCGAGAGGATGAATTTTGTAATTCGTAAAGCGATTCCAGTCTTTCGTCTTAATTTTTTTTTTTAATTTTCCTCCGTCCTTTTTTTTTTATTTTCATACCTTCCCTTTTTTAATCCCTCTTTTTGCCCTGTCGCTTCGCACGCGTTGCATTTTAAACGTTCAACGTTGAAGTTGCGCACGCGCACAAGGGGTTGGATGTTTTTGAAATTGAAATCAGTTGATTCATGACACGTTTCAATTATTCATGTACAAAGTTGGGCACAGCTTCACGCGTAGAAAATGTAAATTCCCTCTCCCCCCCCCCCTCAACCCCCACGTGACGTGTTATACCGAGGCTTCCGTTGTTTTTCATAACATTACACACACGAGGAAGACTCGACGACGAATTAAAAAACTTGCGTCACCGTAAATATTTTATATATAAAGCTCGCTTCTTCCCGTTCCTTTTTTTTTTTCGCAGGAATCGAAACATTTCTTTGAGAGAGGATGACAATATCTTTTCGAATCGCGAAGGAAAGCAACAGGGAAAAAGAGAGAGAGAAAGAGAGAGAAAAGAAGAAAAGGAAAAGGAATAACCGGATCGATTCAATCCGGTTATTATTTCTCCATGGACAACAAGGAGGTGTATTATGCCGAGCAATTTGTCTCGCATAACTATTTAACACGTTGGCCACGGGGTGATTTGCGAAGAGCGAGTTGGAACGAGCTCGAACGAGCTCGAACGAGCTCTGGAAAATTGCCAAAAACGTGAGAACAGTTATCCCTGACAATGAGGAGCGGGTAGTAGTAAATGTCAACACGGGTGTAGGCCAACCATTTAGGCGAGTTTTGGATGTTTCAATTTTCTCGAGTTTCCTGGCACGCTATCCCCGACAATATTAATATTTTCTTCCATTCTTCCTCCTGTGTGAAATTAATCGATCCTTCCACGCGAACTATTCATTTCATCTTACGTATTGACTACGATCCGTCCGTTCGGTAATTTCTCGAGTCGTTGTTCGTCGATTTGTTTCTGTGCCTTTATTTTGTTTTCAACATTGGCATACACCGTTAATACACCTTCTCCATAAACTTCGCGTAATTTTTTTCCTGCCTGAACAACATTCTTACCTTTTCGGTAATTAGAAAGTAAAATATGCCGAAAATATACTCCTTTCGCTCTCGCATCTTTGTTATCACGCACGAGAAACACAACCGCACATAATCGAACGAATTTTTTTTATAAATAAACCATGAAATCCCAATTCTCAAAATATACGATAACAACACGATTTAGAGCGAAGTTGGCTGGATAAAACGTTCGACTAGCGACGCTCGCGTGAGAAAACGAAATTACTTTCCGAACAACACGGTTTAGAACGAAGTTGGCTGAATAAACGTTCGACTAGCGACACTCGCGTGAAAATTTTCCGAACGATCCAATGTTTTCTAAAAATTAAAAAATCAATCACGAAACATCGAAAAAATCTAGATAATTAACGGATCGCGATAAAATTTATTAATAATTACATTTTTATTACGTCGCTCGAATTCATTATTTTCAAAAATTTAAAATGGTTTGTTTGTTTCCTTTTTTCGGAATGGTGGGAAGGCTGTAGGAGGAAGAAGTCAATCAAGGAACGAACGTGCAAAGGCGTTTTCGCAATTTCGAGGTAATAAGAGAAATTCGTCGGATTATACGGCCCATTATTCGACGGATAAAGAACACTACGGGCTAAAAGGTCAGTAAGGATACAACACACGGTTTATAGAGTTGAAACGTTCTCGAGGGACTATTGCCGCCTTATTATTATCTCACGAGACCGAAGTCATTTCTCGTACAACTACGGGCAAACTAGCTATTGCATACTAATGGCCGATTAATGGAAAATCGATCGGGCCAATTTTATTGTACCCGCAGCGACCCGATTAAATATAGACAGCGACGATAATGGCCGCGAAACTTTATTTTCCTCTTACGTCCTTTATCCCACGAGCTTTTTTATCCTCCCTCTCCACTCCTCCTCTTGTTGATCAGATAAATAAATTAACTCGCAACTCTCATCCCTCCGCGAAATTTCCAATACGAAGAGGTTATCTTAATCATCGATTCGGCGATTAATTTTATTATATGGATCGTTTATTTCGAAAAATAAGGTGCAAGTCCATTTTTTCAAGTCTGGCAATGTTTCTACTAATTTCCTCAATTTATGTAATTTGATTGTATAAATTTCTTTTAAGCGAATTTTAATTAAAATAATATATATTTACATAATTAGTCAATCGTAAAAATCATTTAATTTCAATTGTGAAAAATTAAATATCGCTTGAAATATATTTCGTATTGATCCAATTTTGTTTATAAATAATAACAAGAAATGAAATAGGAGTAGTATATTTTATTTTGAAAGTTAATTATATGTGGCGTAAGTGTTTTCGAAATATTCACGATGCACAACAAGTATATGAAGTAATAACTAGTCCATATCTTTATATTTTTCGTACGTAATAGATCTGGCAACGTTGTACAAAGACGCCAGAGCGATTCTTTCAAATCTAAACGTCTTCAATTCTATGCTCGCCACCTATGTCTGTTGCACACCACTTTCATAATCGATCGCTACGCGGTTTCTTTTATCGGCCAATTTTAAATCGAACGAATCATTAACATTTTTAAAGATATTAAATATTATATTGGTTACAAATTAAAACTTTACGCTAAATTAATCACAAATTATGCGATATCTCATTTTTTTTTTTTTTTACCAAAATGGACTTTTTTTACCACTTTCCATACGTACATAAATTTTGACGATGACATCCTTTTT